ACAAAGAGTAACTACTGAGTAGTTACTAATTACACCAAAGAGTAACTACTGAATAGTTACTAATTATAACAAAGAGTAACTACTGAGTAGTTACTAATTACACCAAAGAGTAACTACTGAATAGTTACTAATTATAACAAAGAGTAACTACTGAGTAGTTACTAATTACACCAAAGAGTAACTACTGAATAGTTACTAATTATAACAAAGAGTAACTACTGAGTAGTTACTAATTACACCAAAGAGTAACTACTGAGTAGTTACTAATGACACCAAAGAGTAACTACTGAGTAGTTACTAATGACACCAAAGAGTAACTACTGAGTAGTTACTAATTACACCAAAGAGTAACTACTGAGTAGTTACTAATGACACCAAAGAGTAACTACTGAGTAGTTACTAATTACACCAAGAGTAACTACTGAGTAGTTACTGAAGACACCAAGAGGAACTACTCAGTAACTACTCAATAGTCCCTGAGTAGTTACTGAGTAGTTCCTCAGTAGTTAAGCTTTTTTGTGTACCTTATTGTAAAGTGTTACCAAATGTTTGATCATTTATAAAAACGTCACTAATCTGACCAGTTTGGTTCATAAAAAGAGGGAAATGAACATAAAATATAGACTTAATTTAGAGATGGTGAGTCCAGCAGCACCTAGTGGTCACTGCAGGAACTGCACCAGGATGAAGCTGCTCCTCTTCCTCACCAGCAGAACATCATTCCTGATGATGAAGAGCTGCTTGCTCCACTGGCCCAGCCACTTCCTCCTCCACAGGTAGTCACAGAGGCGGGACTCGGGGGCGGGCCTTAGGCAGGGCTGCGAGGCGCTCCATTGGATGTAGTGGGCTCTGTCCTTCACGAGACCCCCCTCTTTAGCATCTTCCTCCTCGTGGTCATCATCTTCCTCTCCGTACGGCTCGTAGTAGCTGCTGTCTGATTCCGCCCTCTCTGGAGGAAGAAGGTGTGTTTTATTGTGTTCTCTGCCTGAGTCTCACCTGAGGTCACCTGAGGTCACCTGTGGACGCTGTGGTTTCGGCAGCGACGTAAGGTTCTGCTTCCTCGTATGTGTCCTCCTCCTCTTCGTCACCTCTGAGGCCTCCCGGAGGGTGGGGCGGCACCGTGGGACCCTTCATCTGAAACCAGAGATGTTGGATCAAAACTGAGTTTGAACTTTCTTCGTTTTGATGCCTCTGAAGCCCCACGCCCCCACTGGCGGGGGCACAATCGTATTTTTATTTTGCTTTCTTTATTAACCAACGTTCTCATAGGTAAACATAGACATGTGTGGTACCTATAGAAACATCAGAATCTTGGCTAAAAACTCATAGAAACCATTTCTACATCCACCAGACACACATAAAACAACACGCAGTTGAATCTGTAAGTAAACAAGCTGCACAAAATGGCATCTCGACAAAACCCGGTCTCAGCTGTTCACCAGTGACTTCTTCACACACAAACATGTCTGCTGAAAGCAGAGACCTGACAGATTCTAAAAATATAAGTTTCATCACAATCCAACCAGAATTCACTCAAAAAGCAGCAAAAAAAAGAGAAGACCTAGCACTCGGAAAAAAACACTAAAAAACACGTTTTACACGTAAAGCGCTGTGTCACTCACCGGACTTCCAGTTGTGTCTACGTGCCGTTTAAAAAATAAAATACAAAATGTGTCATTTTTGCTAGTTAGCTTACTTATTTATCGAGTTTATTAAGTTTTATAGCTAAAAACTTTTTTTAAAAATCAGCTTTTGTAGGTGGAGCCAAAATGTACCAATCTGTGCCAAAATAAAAAAAACGCCTAATTTTTTTTTTACTAAAACCTCTGTAACCTTGTTGTAGTTTACTTCAGCAGCAGGAGGTTTTGCACAGGTAATGTTCATAAGTGGACTCATGATTTCCAAGAGTTTTTAGCCTGATTCATTATACTTTTGAAAATGTTGTATACGGTATAATGCAGAAAAACCTCAGACGAGGGGAACAAAAAGCTGTTTTTTTCTATGTTCCATCCTCAGTATCTCTGAAACAAAAGCATATGATGTGATACTTACACTCCTGATGAAATCTCCCAAGTGTTGCTTTATTTTGATATCAGGGGTATTTAAATGGTGTTTTTAGGTGCAGAGATACACCCACTTACATTTGGGCATGCTTTTTCAAGCACAAACTTAAAAAAAAAACCTTGGGGTTTAAGAGGAGTCACTTTAACTGGATTTATTCTGTGAAGAGCTGAACAGGAAGAAGATCAAACTGAGCTCCAGAGTCTGGTTTTAGATGCAGTTTTTAGGCCCAAAGAGGAAAAAAACTGACATAAAGCTCAGAGTTGTGTAAAAATGAGTCAGATTTAATCTGGAACAATAAATCTGAGCTTATCGAGTGTTTTCTGTCCATCCATCACGTAGACCAGATGCTAATCAGTCACCACCGGCGACCACTTCCTCCCTCTGCAGAGCCACCGGCCAATAGGAGGGCGAGGAGCGAGGCCCCCGGTGTAAACAGTGGACTTCCTGTCCCTCCCTCACACACACTCAGTAACCCGTCATCTCCTCCGAAACCCCAGGAGGACTGGGTCTGTCATTACTGACCCACATCACACACACGCCACCGCCGAGTCCACATCCAGGAAAACTCCACTTTCTTCTCTCTGCTGCTCTTTTCCCTGAGGTCAGAGTGAGGAGCGTCCGTTTGCTTTTTATTAACCTGCAGCCAGAAGTCTCGTCTGACTGGGACCTCAGCTTTATTTACTCCAGGGGTTCTTAACATTTTTGACCTCAGGGTCCAATTTGTTGAACATAAAGTGGCACGAGACCCAGTCAGACATTACCAATGTATGGATCAAAATGATAATTATTATAAAGCTTGGTTTAATTTTTATTGTATTTACATTATAACTAAACTATCATAACTAACAACTAAACTAAATACACTTACAGTTTAAAAGTAACACTCCTGTCAAATAATTACAAGATATAATTTTAACAAATATTTTAAATTGTAACCTGCCCATAACAATTATTTGAACAAATACAGACC